TCAGTGATAAATAGAAAGACCGCAGCTTCTCCAGGCACCTCAATTCTATTATAAATATTCTGCGTCATTATACAGGATGCATCAACAAAATTTATCCACTGAGATAATTTGTTCAAAACATAAAATTGTCTGAAAATATACAGAAATTTCCTTGTGAGAAGCATTTTGATATTCTTAATTCTTACGTACCAATACAACAAATACATATTCTCATAAACTTCACAATAAAAATCATCGGTTGGTATTGCAATACAGACTCGTGTTGCGAAATGTTTCAAGCGCAGCCACTGAGTTGCCATTGAATGCAGCGGCTCAGCTACAAATTTTTCTGTACGTTGCCCCGCGTATCTGAAGGCCGCCGGAGTGCAGGACTTCACCATAAAAAGCGTGCGCCTGCGGACTCAGACATCACTCGAACGACGTCGCTCCGAGTAACTCCTGCACAATGGCCTCCATTTTCGTGAGTCTATAACTTATTTTTTAAGGCAAAAGTGATCGAATGATATATTTTATAATTAAGTTCATTCTTTTTCTACACATCTTATTGATCACTGAGAAACATGTCTGTTTATTAAACATAATGTAAATTATGTCATACTTCAAATGCCTCATTATATCTAACTTTTATGTAAAGAGGTAATGTTTTATGTATATTGTTTTAAATATCTATTCTAACATTTTCCACAGAACCTGAGCCTGATTGCCCTGGTGGTGATGATGATGGCGGCTGGCGCCATTGCTGATCCTAATCCCGAACCTTTCCCTGCTCCTGGTAAGGGAAAAGGCAAAGGGAAAGGAAAGGGCAAAGGCCATTGATGAATATCCTACGCGGTCTAAAATTTGCAAAACATTGTTTTCAGCGTCCATCCATTCCATAAGCCATATGATATATAATATGGCTCTGTTGGCGGGTATACAACACTTATTTATTAAGTGACGTTATAACCTGGATCTGAAATAAAATTCTTGATGCATCAATAAACGGCAATTTGACATTAATTTCAACCGCAATTATTGCTGAAATTATTAGAGATTGATTTCTAAATAATTGTAAAGTTAAAATTGCCATCAAATACAAAATAGCAGTTTATTTCATGTACTTCACGAAAAATTTCTACGAGAATTTCCGTAACTCGCACTAGTATAGTTGGGGATATTATCAAGATAACGGGGAAAAACATCGTGGGCATCTCGCTTGCGATTTACTTATTTATAAAAAATTCTTCTCGGCTTTTTGCTATTGACAATAATTTCATGGAAAGCTATAATCAGCATTATTTCTTCTCATTGTTTGATAAATTAAAGATAATATTCAAATTCATGATTTGTTACTTAATAAAATTTGCATAAGTTGAGTTAATGGCACCGCATGACGATGCTGGTGCAGGGGGATTAATGATGGCCTTGCAGTGTGAATATTTCATTTTCCCCGAGCCCTTGAAAACTGAAGAGGGCAAGTGAAATAACGCTAAAATGTGGCTGGCATCACAACTATGTTTTTTATGTGCATAAAATTTCTATGATAATTTTTATAAGGCTTGCAGCATGTCAAAGTAACATCTTTTACAGTAGAAGAACACTCTGACGAAAGCAGATAAAATATTTAATTTTCTACCTATCTCTCGCAAATACTTCTCGAACTTACTTCTGTGTTTCCTTCCAAAATTGTGATAGGCGAATTATATTCGAAGACGAACTGCATTTAAATTCTCTATCAACTAACAACATCAATGACTTACAATTTTATAAGCTTAAGAGTAAAATATTTGAACATTACTTCATTATGATACGGCGCAGCGCCGACGAAGGTTTTATAGCGCCAGAGTTGAACGAACCGTAGAACAAAATTCTGAAGGCACTAATGCCTGTGAGAAATTCGTCAATCCTCACCGTCAATTTGGTTGTTTACTTTATTAAGATGAGGTGCGTCACTGACTGAAGTAATTAATGGCGCCCCCAATAAACTGTCTCCAGGCTGCATTATATGCTGTTAATAGAAACTTGAGAAAAATCCAGCGAAAATCGAGGAAAATATTTTTTCGAATTTCGATATTTTCTCAACGGCATATCATGGAAAAAGTCTGGGGATGATTTTTCATCTAAATAAGTTTTCCTTTGAGATGCACGGAAGACGATTTATTTTACCTTTAATTTTGGCCTTAAACTTTTAGCATGTCGATGGTCTGGATGGTTGTACATTTTCTTTAGGTTTCTTTATTAGTTCCACTTTTATTCATTAGATCCGTTATCCAGATTTCATTTGGAGAAAAAGTACCTATAGATTCGAAGGCAGGGCTTTATTTTTTACATAAAAGGGAGGCACGTTATAGGGACCTCACTGAAAATCAAATCTTTTGTGGTTCCCTTTACCATATTAAATCATTCTAATACCAATTAAGTTGCATAATCCGAAGGTCCAGGTTATATAGGACCTGATTTCAGCAGCTTCATTCAACCGTCTGTCACTGTATTGATAGCCGGTGCTTAAAGGACCTAGTACTTGAGTGAGTGCGCAGGTAAGGTTTATAAATAACAACATAAAAGGTTTGCGAATAGTTTGACAATAATTGCATATGAGTTTTGTCCGCTTTTCAATTTTATGTGATTTGTTCATTTACTAAACTTCTTTGATGACCCAAACTTATTTACTACCTGTTAACTGTCCGCTGGAATTATTGCCGTTGCACTCGAGGCTAGCCAAGACTACTTCAATACGAGCTATTCAACTGCAGCATTATAGTTTTACCGGTTCTCGTGAATTATTTTTCATTCATTTAATTTATATAAATTATTATTTTATTTCCATTTTTGATTAGCTTAATCCCAAATCCCTATTTAATTGTGAATATTTCATTAAAAGGTGGCATGGCTAAATTAGTATTCTTTTAAGACATTTGTCTTTATTGTTTTTGCTTGATTGTCACTCAACTGAACTTATGAATATGCTGCCTGCCTATTCATTTTTATGAAGGCTACTATTTAAGGAATTCAACCTGTACTAACATATGTAATTATTAGGTTTATTATTTTCTTCTACAGTTACTGCCTGCCCCTCTCATGCTTCTTATCTTATTCCTTAATTTACCCCGTTAATTTCACCTGAATTTATTCATTAACAACCACTTAGCTTATTCCTTAATTTCGATCTCAATTCATTCCTGAACTTATTCCTCAGTTTCACTTTAATCTATTCAATAATTTTATATTATCAATTCACATCTCTTAATATGTCATTAAACCCCATTTTGCTGTAAACCAGACCACATGTATTTCAGTATACTAGTGATTATATACTAGCTGCTATCTTATCTCCCTTTATTGAAACGAATTTCAATTTGGTTACTTAGACACAAAGTGAGTTTTTCTGACCCACCCGCTTTCACGACACAGCGGTAACATTATTATGAGAAGGAGACCCTCATGATTCAGTTAATTAAAGCATCAATTAAGAGGAAAGTGCAGATTTAGATTACTGGGACCAGCCGCTTGACGCTCGGTCAACCTGAGATCGCCGTTCACTGAAGGCCTACTGTTCAAGTATTTATCGTATCTATTTCTCCACTTGTGACTGACCCTTTCAACCATTTAGAGATAAATGAAATCCACCTTCATCCAGTTGCAAACTTTGTGACAGCCTCAAAATACAGCCTGACATACCAACCTTATTGCTGGTATGTAATTATCGCTCTGGTATGTCACCAGCATTATTGCTAGTATGTAAGTTCTGAAGACCAATTGGCCCCATCAAACCAATCAGAACGTAGAAACAGGTAAACACACTAGAGCGTACAATACAGACAAGCAATGTCTATATTACACTGCAATGGCTCATAAGGTTGCACTGTGCGTACAATATGTCAAATTACAATTTGAGAAAGAATAAACAATAAAAAAATAGATATAAGTAACAGCGGTGAATATTAATCGCTTTTGATCAGGCAGGACCAAACTATAATTGTTGTGTTTGTCGGACTGATGTATTGGATTTGTGTACGCATGTTTTAATTGTTTTGCCGTTGATTACTTCATTTTACGTTCGTTGTTTATTTCATTTTATTCAATTTTATTGAATAAAAATTTTTATTTTATTCATTTATTGTTTTTTGAGAGCCATTGAGGCATTCTTTCATGTATTGGTTCATCAGATGGAATGGTGCTTTTTAGCGCATTTTCTCATTTATGGAAAAAATGCCCTATTGTGCTCGTCATGTCCGTCCGATCGTCCGTCCGTCCGTCAGTCTGACTGTCCGTGACTTCACGTTGTCGACGAAAAAATGCGCTCTCTGTCACTCACTGCAGTGGGTACTGAGTTATATTTTTTTCCAGCATATTAGCTAAAGCAGTAGTGAAAAAGCATTAGTTTGCAGGTTTGTCTTCATTTTCAGCATTGCGATGGTGTAAGTCAAGTGTGAACTTACTGTTTACTAGAATCTAGAACGTGAATCTAACAATAATGAGTTTTCGCGCGGATATTGTTTAACAATTATTTGCTTATAATTATTTCTTGTATTTTAGGTGATTTAATTGGCTGAGGATTTAACGTTTCCGTCATTATTGTGGCTTCTAAATCCCTTCGTCCAACTACCATACTGCCTTTGGCTACGCGTCATGAACGAGTGCATACGTCTCACAAACTGCATAAGTGCAAAAAGAAAGCTGCTCAAAAGTGCTATATAATAAAATCTTCTATTTATTGCTGCAAGTACATTTCTCATTATGTAGATGGTTTTGTTTATTTTTTGACAGTTTATTCTATTTCCACGGAAACAATAATGTGCCTCAATAAAATTAATTTCATACCAAGTAAAGACATTTTGCTGCTAAATATTTTGGTTTTCTTCCAATCGATTTGTCGTACGTTAAAAAGATTCCTCATAAATCAAATACTGAATACGTAGAATAGAATGAGGAACGTTGGTTCTCATCTTGTTTATTTAATGACAGAAATTAGTTTCTCTAGTTCGCAACACATTTATTGCGAAGGATGATTGAGTGAGGACTTTTGGTTGAAGTGATTTATTAAAAATTTTCGGCAATAAATAATTAAAATACCATTTTAATCACCAGTGGCATAATTTGACGCAGAAGAGTCGGTAGTTTCTTTAGTGTCCTTTACCCTATCCTTTGCCTTTTCCCTTACCCTTGCCAGGGGCAGGGAAAGGTTCTGGTTCTGCGATGGCGCCAACAGCCATCATCATCACCACCAAGGCAATCAGGCTAAGGTTCTGTAGATATTAAATACAAATGACGAGCATATATTCTAAAGTTTCAACATTTTTTTCGCAAAATATGAGATTACCGCCAAAGAAAGGAAATTAACTTTATAATTTAATGTAATAATTGTATGCTCTGCATTATTAAGAGTGTCTATAAGCATGATATGTGATAGCTGTAGATATGACTCTCAGTCCCAGGTATAGACTTACGAAGAAGGAGGCCATTGTTCAGGAGTCGCTGGATGCAGTTGCGTTCCGAGTGATGGAGTTTGTCGCTGCACAGGCCCTCATATACCCTGACCGAGGCGCGGCGGCGAAGTCTATTGCGCAATGCCAGCACTTCAAAAGCGTGACGACTTTTTGCCAAACTTTTTGCCAGCACTTCAAAAGCGTGACGACTTTTTGCCAGCACTTCAAAAGCGTGACGAGTTTTTGTTGTACCTGAAGTCAAATGAATGCGTTGCTCACGCCTTATTCAAATCGCATGCTGATGGCGATAAGGCTAGCATGAATTCGAGAATTCACCATATGACGAACAATTTGGCCACCTTTCATATCACCAATAATTAGATATCCAAAAATTCAGGTCATTCCATTCAGTCAACAAATATCTCGATAATATGAGTAAGGATACATAAATTATGTGAAATGAATGCAAGGACGACCTGCTTGTCCTCAGATCAAGGTATACGTAAACATAAGGTGGTACAAATTGTACACCTATAGTTCGCCCTGACGATTAAGCCGAGATTTTATGGAAAAAATGTAGTGAATATCATCAATAAAATCAACAAAACTATCAGTCTTAGGTTATGATAAAGTTGGTGATACGAGGAGCATTTCTACCCTTAAAAACTGATAAAAACTGATGGAAAAGAATCGGCGACAGGCCACATCAGGCCTACACTTCAGAGCCGACATCACTATGTTATGTTATGTTAAGTTAACAACAAATGCGCAATTCATCAATAGTACGTAATGAAAATTAATTTAAAACTTCGTTGACATCGTCAAAACTTGATTTTAAAAAGTTACCAACGAAATGAATCGTTTCCAATTTGCCTCTAACTTACTAAGCTTGCAGAGCAAAACAGCCATCAGTTTTGATATTATTTAATACTTAAATACTAGTAATTCTTTTCCTGCAACATATTTTCAAACATCAATTTGATATAAAGTGATCGAATACAATCCAGTCAAGTGATGGGATTACTTATTTGGATATATAATGCACAAACTTATGAATTACCTAAGTAGAAGAATAATAATGTAATGAATAGTATTATAACCAGATGCAGTTGTTCTTCTTAATTCGTAAACTTGAAAGGACTCGTTATATATTGTGAACAAACAGGTCTTTGATATTTCAGACATAACAAACTTTGGAAAATTTATGTATTCAGAAATTTTGACAGCTGTAGTATTTAGTTTTTAACTCCTGAAACTTTGGTTGGATGCGGGTGTGTTGGAGGATCAATAAAAACAATGTTAATTCATGCTTCGCAGCGAATTCTATACAAACAGATTTCGGAAGGTCATCTATAGGTGGTCCAATGATATTCTCCAAATATGAAGCCAATAAAATGTGTATTTTTAGGATTCTTAGCGTTAGCACCTCATGAGTAACATGCAGACAAGAACTGCGAGAAAAGTTCGATAATTGTAATACTTCTGTGAAGTACATGATTGTAAATAACAACTATTAAGGAACATACGCGAGTTCGAGGTAGCTTGGCGCCATATTCACGAACTGAGGACTAGAAACGACAAGGGCACACTAGATAGTATGCATAGTATAGTATTCTTCCAATTTCACTTAGTTACAAGAAATTTTTTTACAAGAATGTCAGGTAGGTAAATGTTAGGTAACAATTAGAATGCCATCGCTGCCAAGTCAGTGTGAGGTCATTCATGCTATATTGAGTGTCTGCCTTCAAGGCCCGTCAGGCGCTGTACCAACTTCTGCTGCGTATATGAAGGACGATGTAGTGATTGATTGCTTCACACGCTCACGAACTATCTTACTAAAGACAATATAATGCCTTCGTTCTTAGTAAGTGGTCTCGTATAAATAAATGAAAAATACAGTCTAGCTCTACACATGCTAAAAAGCTGATATATTTGTTGTCTTTCTTCTCGCTCCAAACGGTATTACATATAAGCTTACGACAGATCTTTTAAATTTCATGTCACTGCTCGGTTTGAGAGGATCCCAGAAATTCTAGCACGTATGGTGGGGTCGAATAATTAGGAATAATATTATGAGTAACTTTCAGAAAAACTCAGTTCATCAAACTGTTCATTTGAATTAACAAAAGCCAAATAATAACAAATAATAAACTGTACAATTTCAGAAATTCAGATTGATCGCCCTTGTGATGCTACCTGCCGACGCTCCTGCTGATGCGGAACCAAAATTTTCCTCCGTGCTCGGCATGAGCAAGGATGAAGCTGGAGGAGAAGGAAGAGAGAAGAGTGATGTGGAGAATGAAGACATCATAATCTGCAAGCAAACCAGAATATTCAAGAAGAGATCTTAGAATATTTTTTTTCTGAATGGCAATTTAAAAGTTTAAAGGGACACCGAAAACACCGAAATTGGAATTTGATCGTGAATGCACAGTGGTTGAATTTTATCATTGAAGGAAATGACGTGAACATATTAAAATAACTGTATGAGTCTCGACGCTGCTAGCCTCCCGAGGTTGTCATTACTTTAGGTATAGGTACTTTAGTACGTTAATTTCATTTACGCTATGAATGCCTGAGTACGCTAATTTCATGTACGCTACCAATGCCTGAGTACGCTAATTTCATGTACGCTACCAATGCCTGAGTACGCTAATTTCATGTACGCTACCAATGCCTGAGTACGCTAATTTCATGTACGCTACCAATGCCTGAGTACGCTAATTTCATGTACGCTACCAATGCCTGAGTACGCTAATTTCATGTACGCTACCAATGCCTGAGTACGCTAATTTCATGTACGCTACCAATGCCTGAGTACGCTAATTTCATGTACGCTACCAATGCCTGAGTACGCTAATTTCATGTACGCTACCAATGCCTGAGTACGCTAATTTCATGTACGCTACCAATGCCTGAGTACGCTAATTTCATGTACGCTACCAATGCCTGAGTACGCTAATTTCATGTACGCTACCAATGCCTGAGTACGCTAATTTCATGTACGCTACCAATGCCTGAGTACGCTAATTTCATGTACGCTACCAATGCCTGAGTACGCTAATTTCATGTACGCTACCAATGCCTGAGTACGCTAATTTCATGTACGCTACCAATGCCTGAGTACGCTAATTTCATGTACGCTACCAATGCCTGAGTACGCTAATTTCATGTACGCTACCAATGCCTGAGTACGCTAATTTCATGTACGCTACCAATGCCTGAGTACGCTAATTTCATGTACGCTACCAATGCCTGAGTACGCTAATTTCATGTACGCTACCAATGCCTGAGAACCACGCGGCGATGTAGCGATAACAGACCACAGTTTGCTGCGACCTTGTCAGAGAGTTCGTGGCCACCCTTGTGGTTGTGGCCGCTCGATCAAAATCGCTCTTCGTTAATATAAGAACAATCTTTTTTGTATTATTCTAGTCTTAAGAGCGAACAACAGAAAACATACGATGACCTAGGGCTCGTTGTTTGTGCTCAACAGAGCTGAGGCTTCACCGGAGGCCTGTTCGGCTTTCGTATCAAGGCGATCGGCCTAGTCTCAAGGTAAAGGAAAACTACGAATGTCAGTACTTCTTAATTGTAAAACTTAAATACAGAGCAAGAAAAATTAATCTTGTAGACGGCGATACCCACAAAATAAAGAAATTTGTCAACGGACAACTATCATATACATCGTAAAGGTCTCGGGAGGAAAGACGGCTTGACCATGGGGCTTGTCAGCTGTCGTTCAAGTCGGCGCGATTAAGACAGTGGCCAACTGCTCAGCGCCTGCGCAGGCTAAGCTTACAATTTGAAGATGAACTTGCTTGTTCACACCAATTTCGGGATACCAATACCCTTACACTCGTCATCTTTAGTGCCTTGCCATCATCACTATAGATTTATTCTGTAGCAGACAGAATACGGTGATATCAATGTTAATAATTATACTTTTTGAAATTTCGTCCAAATGTATTCCTTACGCGCAAAAAAATTATTATTTGGACAGAAATGACACAAGCTTGAGCGAAATTTGAACTTGATTTGAATTTCAATAAATTGAAGAATAAAATAGTGGCAGGACACAAACATCCTTACCAAATTAACGTCAAAAAAATATTCCCAACGTCAGAGCGGTCATTCGGACATAGATCAATGCAAGAAACTTTTAAGAGATATTTAGGATTCTTGTTCGTTGATCAAATTATTTTTGTTTATTTTGTAGTAACAATGAGTAGGGCAATGTTTTAATGATAATATAGTGATCTTCAATGCATTCGTTTGTAAGGAAATAATATGTTCACCACTAAAGCTCATGGGTATTCACTTTAAAATAAATAGAAGAGATTTTTTATGGTACAAAAGATTCTTCAACAATAATACACAACGACTAAATTTTGATGTTATTTTGACGGCACAATTGGACAAGTCAGCATTCCTTACTCATCTAAAAGGATTCAAAATTACGCCGAAGAGACCAGTAACCAGGCAGGCATAGGTTTCTTACGCCGATTTAGTGCCCAATACGCAAGTAAAGTATAGAGTTATTTGCTGTATCCAAATAGAATTTCAGGAACTTCGTGTCTTTGTATCCTTAGTCCGGTATTCTAAAATGGCTGTATCAGGACGGTGAGAGCGAGCAAGCATTACAAGCATTAGAACCTCAATGAGCATTGGGAACTCAATGTACTTACAGCGTCGGTTAAACGTCACATTTTATATAATTATACTAACCGGCAATAGAATATTCAGTTCTTATCTTTTATCATTGAAACAATACTAGATTAACTATAAAGAATACAATAAACTCTAAATTTCCAATCTATTATTACAATATACACTGCAGTGTCACCCAGCTTCAACAAGTACCAAGGGTAATCAAAATTACGAAATGAGACCGGTGGGAGAAAATTAGAACAGATTTCGTGTTTATGGAAAATCGGAACACGGCATCATAATTATTAATCAAAAGCCTTGAGATTAAAAGCAACACTTATTGCGACAATTTAAAATATTAACTTAATCGTCGCAGAAAAAGTCCAACAGCACACGAAGTAAAATAGTTTGTGATGAT